CGTCGTGTACATTCCGAGTGTCTGCGGATTAGCTCGGATGTGCTCTCTTGGCTGTGCCTCACGCCTTCTACCTCTTATGCCATTCTGTCCTCTCTTTGTTTTCTGCGGATTTTTCTTTCGGTTCTGTCTATGTTCGGGTCAAAGGCAAGCTCAAAGTCTGGGTCGAGTTGTCGTCGAGTGGGACGTCCGCTCATGCACTAAGGGAACCTGCGAAAATAAAAGTCAAGAAAAAGGCCGAGAATGTAAATCGAAGTGAATAAAAAGGCAGAGAGTAGGGAGAGACACCCGATAAAGTCCAGAACGATCTCGGAAAAGTCCAGAAAAATCGGAAAAAAGCTAAAAAAATTTAGAAAAATCCAGAAAATGTCTAGAATAAATCCGGAAAAGTTCAAGGAAATACAAACAGCAAAAATGAAGAAGAGAAATATCAAGAAATAAAAGAAACAAGAAAAATTGACTCAAAGAGAAAAGTAAAAAATCACACAAACACACAAAGAAAAAGAAAGTGAACAAACACACAAAAAAATCAAATCGAAAAATCAAAGACTCTGGAAAGACTAATCTAGAGTCAATCTATCCTAGCTATGGAAACCGTAAAAAGCCTCCGGCAATGGCACCAAAAACTTGATCACTTGTGTGACGAGTCTTAAATTTATAACCCGAAACACAACTAATCCGCAAGTATACAGATGTCGTAGTACTGGAGTCGAATACAAGGACTTAAGCGGTTAAGATAGGAGTCGATTAAAACTAGGAAAAGGGTGAAGATAAAATTGGAGAATTGTTTTTATTGTTTTGGGAAGTTGCAGAAAATTAAAAGAAGGAAAACAAAAATCAAAGATAAGCAATATTTAAGAAAAGATGATCGATATGAAAGGTTGTGGGAATCGGGGTTCACTGATCATGCAAAGATGTCGTAAGGGATTATAGACCCATATCATGCTCGTTCTAAAGTAAGTTCGAAGACTAAGGTCGGGTTCGGTTCTTTTAAACCGAAGACGCGCTATCCAAGAGAGTACTCTTTCCACTTTCGTGGTATAGAGTAAAATCCCGAATGCATTAAACTCCCTTGTCACAATCCTAAGTTGGATTAAATCTAATCTCTTCGCATTCAATCTCAACCCATTTCAATGAATACACCAAAACCAAGAATCCATGTCTACATGAGATTCTCAATTCTAAATCCTACCCATGAGATTCTCATCAAGTGGGAGACATTGGACACCATTCATTGAACTCTAGCAATCAAACCCAAACAATTGCATCACTCAATTCAACAAATCCTAGGTTTCCCTAACCATTCATTCAAGACAGACGATTGATAAACATGAAGAACAAAATTTCATTCATTGCAAGAGTTTGAAAGCATAAACAAAGCACAATCTTGGGTCCAAAGGTTGATACAAGCATCCTTACATGAGGGCTAATCCCTCATCCCACAACAAGAAAACTACTCACTAATGTTCAAGAACACAAAATTTACAAGATGGAACATAGAGAGAAAGAGGAGAGAGATGCTCATTAAAATCTTCAATCTTCAATCTCCAGCAAATCTCTTTGGTTTCCCTTCAAGATTTCGACCCTAGGTCTCCAAAATGAGAGAGAACCGTCGCCTCTTTTCATCCCTAAGTCCGGAAATGTTCGAATGCCCTAAAAATCGGGAAACTCGTATATATATATATATATGTATATATACAGAAGAAGTTCTTGTCGAGAGCGATGACTTGAATGTCATACAAGCAATGTGCACAATGAACTTCTGGCTTCTATTCATTGCAATGATCTGCGGGATGGGAACTGGACTTGCGACAGTGAACAACATCAGACAGATAGGAGAATCACTTAACTACCCAACAGTTCAACTCAACGCTCTTGTCTCTCTCTGGAGCATCTGGAACTTTCTTGGTAGGTTTGGCGCTGGTTATATCTCCGACATATACTTACACAAATACGCTTGGCCACGACCCGTTTTCATGGCCATAACGCTGAGCGTTTTGGCCGTAGGGCACGGCGTCATGGCCTCGGGTTTACAAGGAAACCTCTACATGGGTTCCCTCCTGGTGGGCTTGGCCTACGGCTCACAGTGGTCACTCATGCCAACGATCACGTCTGAAATATTCGGTATCAAGCATATGGGGACTATATATTATACGATCTCGATAGCGAGTCCGGTCGGATCATATATTTTCTCGGTGAAGGTGATAGGTTACTTGTACGACAAGGTAGCAGCTTCAGAGGATGATCATACTTGCGTTGGAAGTCATTGCTTCAGGGCATCGTTCGTGATAATGTCTGCAGTTGCTTTGGTCGGATCTTTGGTTGATTGTGTTTTGTTCTTCAGGACAAAGAGGTTTTATGCAAAGCTTGCTGCCAAGAGGATCATCGATTAGAGCTCTTAGGCCAATAATAAATAAATGCAGTTTTATTTTTGTTTTTTTGTATTTGATATTTGATTTTGATTTAATTCTGGCTGTTCTGGTTTGGAAGTTTGATGGGGTTTTTTTAGTGTAAAGTCACTTTGGGAGCACTTTAATTAAATTATTAATATTTAATGGATTGGTGTTTTATTATATTAAGGCAATGATGGTATTCCTAATCAATAATTACCCCAAAAAATATTGTTTTATTTAATTAAATTATTGTTTTAGATATTTTTACTAGACAGCGATAAAAAAAAATGAGAGGTTTCATGAAATTATCAGAGAAAGACAAAAACATTTGTTTCCTTTTTTATATTTTGTTTTTTGTTAGAAATTAAAAAAAAGGGGGGGGGGGAGAGAGTCATACGCCACATTCAAAAATCTAAAAATCTAATTTATCCGTACATGAACCACCAAATCAGAGATGCTCACAACTCGGTGTCTCCATCTTCGTCGGAGAGGTCAAAAGAAGAAGAAGAAGGAAGAAGAAGGAGATGAAGAAGAGTTCGTCAATGGAGAAACTAAATACGAAGTGGGTCGCATCGACGGCGAGCATATGGATTCAATGCTTCACCGGGGCAACCTATACCTTCGGAATCTACTCCTCCGTCCTCAAATCCTCTCAATCCTACGACCAATCAACCCTAGACACCGTCTCAATCTTCAAGGACATCGGCGGCACTTTCGGGCTTCTTTCCGGCCTTCTCTACACCGCCGTAACCTCCGGTGGCGGAAGAGGGCCGTGGCTGGGGATCTTCGTGGGTTTGATTCAATGGTTTTCTGGGTTTTTCTTCATGTGGGCTTCGGTGGTTGGTCTGATCGATCGTCCTCCGGTTCCGTTGATGTGCTTGTTCGTGTTCTTGTCCGGTCATTCGCTCCCGTTCTTCAACACGGCCAATGTCGTCACCGCCGTAAGAAATTTCTCCGACTACGGCGGAACCGCTGTTGGCATCATGCAGGTAGTCAAAGGGCTTTCTCCTAAGGCTTTGATTTTGGTGAAATTTGAGTATTGCTTTAGAGGAAAGTCAACACGAATTCGATAAATTTCACTGCTTTGATCCATCGTATCCTAGATTATCCTTAGTGGGTTTCAAGTGAAAGTTGAAACACTTGATTCTTGTCCTGTGCTCTGAATCTGACATTGTGATTTTCTTGTCCTGTTACAAACCATTGAAATCTTAGTGTTGGTGAAATGCTAGTTGATTGAATCCGTGTTCTTGGATGTTTTTCACCCATTTCCTTAGGGATTTTTGGGCCTAAGCGGAGCTGTTCTTGTTCAATTGTACCACATCTTCAGCGAAGGAAATCCTGCTACTTACATTCTCCTCCTGGCAGTAGTACCCACCCTTGTCATCTTGTCGACTATGCCTTTCGTCAGAATATACGATTCCATCACCACTGGCGACAAGAAACACTTGGACGGCCTCTCTATGATCTCTTTGATCATCGTTTCCTATCTTATGGTCATTATAACACTCGAAAACTTGCTGGGTTTGTCACGACCGATGCAGATATGCTCCTTTGTTGTTCTGATTTTAATGCTTTGTTTGCCTCTCTTGGTTGCGGTGAGAGCACGGCGCGAAGAGAAGCAGAGACTTTTGTCTTTGGATTGTCCTGTTGTTCCCGACAGAACTGCCTTGCTCCACTGTCCTAAGCCGGACATTTCTCCTGGTATATTTCTTTCAGTTTCATAAATGTTTCTGTATACATAATGCTGCAAGAAAAATGGCTTTATTCTTGAAATCGGCAAACCCATCAGGTGAACATGGAAATATGATGCCTTTCAGACTCAAAAGTTTTAGTTTTGGAGTGTGCTTAAATTCAAGATTTCTGTGGTATTGTCGCGTTTGCTTGTATTAATATTGTGTGTTTTCCGAGCAATATTCTTTAGCTGCCCCGATTCACTGTCTGATCGATCATTCTTGAACAGAAACTGATCTTATCGAGGAAGATGATGATCTGAATATCCTGCAAGCAATGTGCAAGCTGAATTTCTGGCTACTCTTTCTCGCAATGATTTCCGGGATGGGTTCTGGGTTTGCAACCATAAACAACATCAGGCAGGTAGGCGAGTCACTTCACTACCCGACTGTCCAGCTAAACTCCTTGGTCTCCCTCTGGAGTATATGGAACTTTCTCGGCAGGTTTGGAGCCGGGTACATATCCGACACATACTTACACAAATACGGATGGCCAAGACCCGTTTTCATGGCCGTAACTCTGGCCATAATGGCGATAGGTCACATTGTGATGGCATCGGGTGTACAAGGAAGCCTCTACATTGGCTCACTGTTAATCGGCATGGCGTATGGTTCACAGTGGTCACTCATGCCGACCATAACATCGGAAATCTTTGGGATTAAGCATATGGGAACCATATATTTCACCATTTCGATAGCCGGTCCTGTCGGATCGTACATCTGTTCCGTGAAGGTGATCGGTTACTTCTACGACAAGGTGGCTTCAGGGGACGACAATTCTTGTTTCGGGAACCACTGTTTCATGACTTCGTTCATGATCATGTCGGCTTTGGCTCTGTTCGGATCTCTTGTTGCCTGTGTTCTGTTCCTCAGGACCAGGAGGTTTTACTCGAAGCTTGTGGCCAGAAGGATCGTGAATTGAGATTTGAAGAGTGTGTATATATTTTTCAATGTGAATGTTTTGTACGTTGTGTATTTGTATATGCCGTCTGTTTGCATTGTTAACACTTCAGAAACAGACGGACAATGGAAACCATAAATAAATATTTCCATCGATTTTTTTATTCTAATAAAAATGCAACATTTGGCAATTTAGTTTTCTAATTTTTCTATAACCTGTAACTCGATCCAAATATATAACTAAACCCTTAATTTCATTTTTTTTTTTGGTGTGGTTCATATTAATATAAAAGAAACTTTCCAAATAAAATCATCAACTTTATAAAAATTATCATCAATAACAATCATCACAAGTTTTTTTTATTTTTGAAGGAGATGGAAAGTTTGTCTTCTATCCTAACAGAACATAAATAACGTAAAATTTGAAACTTGTCTTTAATTTCTGAATAGACCATATATATATATATATATGATAGGTTACGTGTAACGGTGTACGACAAGGTAGCTTCTGAGGATGATCTTATTTGCTTTGGAAGTCGTTGTTTTAGGACATCCTTTGTAAAATAAAGGTGATTACTTTTAATTAAATTCATGTATTTAATTAATGATTTGAGTTTTTATTAATCTAATGCAATTTTTGTACCCATAATCCATAATTACTAAGTTATTAATTACTATTTTATAGCCACATTCGAACTTGTAATTATGATAAATATGAGGGGTTTATAATTTAACTGCCACGTGGATTTAATATGCCATGTAGATAAATCTACACGTTGTTGTTCCACCATCAAAATGACGTGGAATTTCGTCACTGTTCTAGATAGAGAACGAAATGTCTGTTTCCTTGATATTTTATATTTGTTTGAAATATTAAAAATAAAAAAGGCATATGCCACATTCATAGAATCTAAAGTCTAAAGTCTAATTTGTCCTTTCATGGACCGTCAAAATCACTGATGCTTGTGCAAGTCACAACCCAAGTGTCTTCATCTTCGTTGGAGAGGTCGAAAAAGATGAGGAGCAGGAGGAGGAGAAGAGAGCGTCAATGGAGAAACTGAACACGAAGTGGGTCGCATCGACGGCGAGCATATGGATTCAGTGCTTCATCGGAGCAACCTACACCTTCGGAATCTACTCCTCCATCCTCAAATCCTCTCAATCCTACGACCAATCAACCCTAGACACCGTCTCCATCTTCAAGGACGTCGGCGGAACTTTCGGCATCCTCTCCGGCCTCCTCTATACCGCCGTCACCTCCGGTGACGGTGGCGGAAGACGGCCGTGGCTGGTGATCTTCGCGGGTCTGATTCAATGGTTTTCCGGGTTTTTCTTCGTGTGGGCTTCGGTGGTTGGTCTGATCGATCGTCCTCCGGTTCCATTGATGTGCTTTTTCGTGTTCTTGTGCGGTCACTCGCTACCGTTCTTCAACACGGCCAACGTCGTCACTGCCATCAGAAACTTCCCCGGCCACGGCGGGACAGCTGTTGGCATCATGGTGGTAAGCAAAGGGCTTTGTTCTCCGGCTTTGATTTTGGTGAAATTTGAGCATTGATTTCGAGGAAAGTCCACATGAATTCGATAACTTCACCGCTTTGATTCATCTTATCCTAGATTACGTTTAGTGGGTTTGGATAGAAAGTTGAAAAATCTTGATTCTTTTTTGTCCATGCCCTGAATTGAGATTGTGATTTTCTTGGTCCAATAGCTGAATCTGCATCAGTCATTAGAGCTGTTGAAACCATTGAAATACAAGTGTTGGTGAAATCTTAGTTGAATTGCTCGGTGTTCTTGAATGTTTTCCACTCATTTCCTTAGGGGTTTTTTGGCCTAAGCGGAGCAATTCTGGTTCAATTGTACCACATCTTCTGCGATGGTAACCCCGCTGCGTACATTCTCCTCCTGGCCGTTGTACCGACCCTTGTCATCTCGTCGACTATGCCTTTCGTCAGAATATACGATTTGATCACCTCTGGTGACAAGAAACACCTTGATTGGTTCTCCGTGATCTCTTTGATCATTGTCGCCTATCTTACAGTTGTTATAGTTCTCGAAAACTTTCTGGGGTTGTCACGGTCGATGCGGATATGCTGTTTTGTTGTTCTTCTTCTCATGCTTTGTTTGCCTCTCTTGGTTGCCGTGAGAGCACATCGTGAGGAGAAGCAGAGACTTTTGTCTTTGGATTGTCCTGTTGTTCCCGACAGAACTTCCTTGCTCGACTGTCCTAAGCCAAACGTTTCTTCAGGTATGCTGCTTTCAGTTTCGTAAATGTTTCTGTATACCGCAAGAAACAAAATGACTTTATCCGTCAGATGAACATGGAGATATTAGCTCCGTCGATATACTGTCTGACCGATCATTCTTGGACAGAAACTGATCTTATCGAGGAAGATGATGATGATCTGAATATCCTGCAAGCAATGTGCAAGCTGAATTTCTGGCTACTGTTCCTCGCAATGCTTCCCGGGATGGGTTCTGGGTTTGCGACCATAAACAACATCAGACAGGTAGGCGAATCACTTCACTACTCGACTGTCCAGCTGAACTCCTTGGTCTCCCTCTGGAGTATATGGAACTTCCTCGGCAGGTTTGGATCCGGGTACATATCAGACACCTGTATACGCAAATACGGTTGGCCAAGACCCGTTTTCATGGCCGTAACTCTGGCCCTAATGGCGATAGGTCACGTTGTGATGGCATCGGGTTTTCAAGGAAACCTCTACATTGGCTCACTGTTAATCGGCATGGCGTTTGGTTCGCAATGGTCACTCATGCCGACCATAACGTCGGAAATCTTTGGGATTAAGCATATGGCAACCATATATCACACCATTGCCGCAGCCGGCCCTATCGGATCGTACGTCTGCTCCGTGAAGGTGATCGGTTACTTCTACGACAAGGTAGCTTCTGTGGGTGACAATTCTTGTTTCGGAAACCACTGTTTCATGACTTCGTTCATGATCATGTCGGCTTTGGCTCTGTTCGGATCTCTTGTTGCCTGTATTCTGTTCTTCAGGACCAGGAGGTTTTACTCGAAGCATGTGGCCAGGAGGATCGTGAATCAGCCTTGAGATTCGATCATTATGTATGTGTGTGTGTATTTTTCAATATTGCAAAATATGTAATTGTATAATTCAGATACCACACTGGAAACCATATACATACATGTATATCTGTAATACGAATCCCGTTCCAGATTTATGGATATTAAATATTTTAGGATAAACTATTAATTTGAATAAAAACAATGAGATGTCTTAATATAAGTTACGAATTATGATAATTGTTATAGATATAATATAGTTGATCAAATCTCGTTATATGCTTTGGATAACCATTACAGGTGTCATGAAAACAAGTTCAAGCAAATAAACGTTTTGTGTTATTATATAAATATTCAAAATGAAACCATCACAAAAGTTTCTATATATATTTACACAATCGTTAGGTAAATTGTTAAAAAGCTCTTGATTTCAAACCCTACGAATATGATATTGTTGCCAAATATTTAATTTCAGTTATTGTTATTTTTTCTAAATATTAAAATCCAATAAATATATACAAATAAAATATTACAAAGTGTTTGTCTTATTTTTCTAAAATTTAAATTAAGTTTTATCAAATTTATTTTCTCCCCTTTAAAAACCCTATATCCCAACTGCATTTGTAAGATTTTACTGAGATTTTACTGAGTAGAATTCATTTTTAAATTTGAAAATCTTGTTCATATAGGTATCAGCAAAGTTATCCACGGGTACCCGATTCTCAATAATGATACCTTATCAGTCGGTATCCGATTTCAGCAAGATAGAGATTGAAATATTTATTTTATAAAACCCGCAAAAATGGAAACGAGACCGAATATCTAAAAAAATGCGCGGATACCCGAACCACGTACACCTCTAATGTTAAAGATTTTTTTTTTTTGTAACAGTAAATAAAATATATACTCTTGATATAACATAACTATAAACAATGAATATTGTTTGTTTGTTTTTTTTTTAATTATAGTCACCAAATTAAAAATACTTGAAAGTATCAAAACATTAACGAAATTAAAATATCTAATTAAACCCTCTCCTAATTAAAATATCTAATATTAGTGAAAAATTCAAGAGTCAGCGTAAACACGTTACTCTTGTTTGACTTTTTGCTCCTCTCCATTAAACCCACTCATTAACCTTATTAAATCACATTCTTGACCGTCCGATGAGCGTTTAGCCTCATCTCAACCGTCGAATATGTACATAATATATTAATACATATACACACTAATGCAAAGCTTTTTTTCGTCAATTTTGTTTTCCCGAGGAGATTGTAGAATACTACAGATGTTTTGTTTTTTCATAATATTCTTTTTTTGGTAAAGTTTTCATAATATTCTAATAATTGATTTTAGTCTATTAGTTATTAAATAAAATTAGGATTGGAATCTTAACAACCATAAATTAATGTCATTTTTAAATGTTCGACTTAATTTTTTTTTTTAAAAAAAGCAAAGAAAATAGGACTATTGCCAACTTGAATGATTTTATTTTGTTTATTTTCTTATTTTTCAATACAAATTCAAAATTTGTAATTTTTATTTATTTTATACACATACGTTAAAATTTCTATTTATTTATACCACAACCTTAACAGCATCAGAAAATAATTAAGATGATGCTTTTATGAAAAATATTAGGCAATTAATTGTTTGTTGTAATTTAAATATTAAGCAATTAATTGTTGCAACGCGTTTAAGAGTAAATTAAATTGCCAGTTTTATACAATTGTAACACTTAAATGCAATGGTAAAATCACGTTAAACTTATGAAGAAGATGAGAAAAACAAATTTAATCAAATAATTACCTTGAAGATTGAATAACACAGCTGTAAAATCAAAATTATTAATAAATAAATATGAAAAAAAAATAAATTGTTTCATTAACAAACGTTTTCGAATTTGGTTGTATGTACTAATCATGCAACTTAATGTGTCATCGTCTTTCCGGATTTGAGTTTTATCGATGCGGAAGATATTTATTTCGTTTTTGGAATTCAATAGAAATTTATAAACTTTTAATCTAGAAACGTCACCTCATATAAAAAATAGCCAAGTAATACACTAAATCAAGATATGGAAACTCTATTATTATCATAAATAAGGATATATAAATTGTTAAGATTTACTCCAAAATATTGCACAGATTTTTATTGATGGATCTTTAACTATATAAATATATTTTTTTTATGTTAGAAGAACTCTTTTCTTAAACTAAATAATTATAATATTCATGATATATATATATATATATATATATATATATGAACTTTCCGGACCTCAGAACCAAGAGGGTTTCAAGTTTTGTGTATATATATTTTTATTTTTGGTAACAGAAGATGTAAATTTTAGCATGATGATAGTTCAGGATTTTATAATTAAGAAAATATTAATAAAAGATAATATTCACATATTATTTGAAAGCATTAAACATTATTTCGGTGGTTCGGAGCATTAGATATTTGATTATACGAATCGCTAAAATGACTAGAGTGAAACTTGATTCGTTTCTTTTTACGTTTTTTTTGTTTAAATAAAGAGAAATATCCGAAATTTTTTTTTTATAATCTAGAAGTTTATCGTACTTTTATATGAACTTTGTCTCATCTTTGAACTACCAAATTTTAGATATACAAATTTTGTTTTTTAATCTAGGTATAAAATGTTGGACCTTGATTGTGGAATCTTCAGAGTATTTTGCTGAAAATGTCATGAACTAGATTTGTATTAACAAAGGCTTATACTTAAGATGGTTGAATTATATATCAAAATCATTATCATCAAAATATTTAACTTTTAGCAACGTTACGTGTACGTAGTTATTTAAAAGAAAATATTCCTTATAACTCAAAGATCTATGAACTATTCGTTTCAAACTTTTCTCCACGTCTACAAAATAAGATGGGTCCGATACATATTTTACAGTACCATATGTGTGGGAATTAAGAATAGCTTTTATTATAAGAAAGACTTTTGGCTATATCATGCAAGTTGTTTGTTTACATAACACATATTAAAGTCTTTACATAATCAAAACGAAAAAAATGCCAAATTATGTAATCCGCCGACAAAATGATCGCAACCCCTCCACTCTTACTCCACATATAAATACCCCCACGCACGTACACGCATTCACCATCTCCATTAGACCAAAATCTTTATATCTTTTTTTCTTTTTTAATATTTCCTATTAGGGTTTTATTTAATTTTGTGGAATGGACCGTCGCATGATGAAATGGTACATGGTGTTTGTGGGATTGGTGTTGGGTTTTAGGGCACAGGGAGCTCCACAGGTTCCGTGTGCGTTCATCTTTGGAGACTCATTGTGTGACAATGGAAATAACAATAAGCTCCGTACAATTGCAAGAGCAGATTATTCCCCCTACGGCATTGATTTCCCTCAAGGCTCCACCGGTCGGTTTTGCAACGGGAGAACCATCATCGATTTCATGAGTAAGCTCTCTTTTCATATATACATTTGGAATTTTCCGTTCTTGTTTCTATGTTTCACGACTGATGAAGGATGGGGTTTAACTCGGTGCGGGAAGAAACTTTACATCTAGTAGTGTTTTGAATCTATAAGCAATTCGATCATCGGAATCCTTCTTTACGGTTCATATGAAATATGTACATGTTTGTGTTATATTTGTATCTTTTGTATAAGATCCCTTGAGAAATATATAGATATAATTTTCGCGTATACGAACCAAAATGATTAGAGAGAGGATACATAATCGTCATTTTATGTTCCGTAACTTGATTTGACAAATATATTTGGACCTAGATGGACGACTAGTACATTCACCAAGTGAATATGGATTTATATAGGTTATAAAATAAACCAAGTTTTAATTATTCCAAGCGTCAATTGAATTCAAATCTCTAACACATGTTCTTGATCTTATGAAGCTGAATTCATAGGATTGGATCGCTACCTTCCTCCCTACTCCGAATCAACAGATGAAGACGTACTCACCGGAGTAAACTACGCTTCCGCCTCAGCGGGAATCAGAGAGGAATCGGGACGACAACTGGTACGAAAAAACCATTCAGAACGAAACTAGTTACAACCTCACAGTTCCTATATTTTAGGTTCGAAAAATATACAAATGGACCGGACGTACATATGATATATGATATTTGACATATTCAGGGAGAGAGGATAACATTTCGAGAGCAAGTGGAGGAGAATCACAGGGAGATGGTTTCACGAGTGGTGAATATGCTCGGAGGAGACAAGAATGCGGCGGCCAACCATCTCGGAAAATGCTTATACTCCATCGAAATGGGGAACAATGACTATCTCAACAACTACTTCTCCGCGTCATACCCCACCCGTAAACAATACACGCCCGAGCAGTTCGCCGACAATCTCATTGATCTGTACGGTCAACAGCTCAATGTACGTATGTACATTAAGACTTAATTTGTGTTATGAACCTCGGTTTGATGATTTAAGCGTTGTGTTTTATGTTAGTGTTATAAGTATATATATATATATATATACGTTATTGGTTTTTCTCCATTGATTGAAAAATTGATGCTTAGTATATACGTTTATGTTTAACGTTTTCACCATTTGTTGAAAACTCGAAAAGCTTCCATTCTACCGACATAACACACGCATGCATGCATGCATGCGTCTCCTCTGCATGCGTCTCCTCTGTTTATTTACGTAACTTTGTAAACCCTAGGTTAAGTATTATATGCGTAAATATAGTATTACGATAATACCCTTGTGCGTTAGCGATCTGTTCGTGTTTGTTCAGGTGCTATACAGCTACGGGGCACGGAAGTTTGTGTTGAGCGGAGTGGGAGCCATAGGGTGCTGCCCGAACGTGTTGGCTCGGTTCAGCCCCGACGGTAAAACTTGTGTCGAATTCATCAATTATGCGGTCCGATTGTTCAACGACAAGCTCAAATCTCTCGTCGATCAACTCAACAACGATTTGGCCGACGCAAAGTTCATCTACGCTAACAACTACGACATTTTACAGGATCTGCTCAACAATCCCTCTGCATATGGTACGTGATCGAAAACTCTATAATGATATATTCTACGAATGCTTAATAACCACATCGTATCTTTGAAAAATATCAAAAAAAAGCATACTATATTATTAGAATACTATATAGTTAGACACATATCTATAATATATATTAGTATTTTCGATTGAAGATATTTTGATAACTGATAGAATCTCCGTAAGATGTCATCGTGATGGTTTCGTAAATTGGCTGAGATCTTAGAATGAATTTCTCGGATTTCTGTTTTTTTAAGGGTTTAATGTAACAAACGAAGGATGCTGTGGGTCGGGGAGGAACAGGGGTCTGTTCCAATGTTTACCACGAGCAAAACCGTGTCCGAACCGCAACGAGTATGTGTTCTGGGACGTGTATCACCCGACCGAGGCCGCAAACGCAATCATCGCTCAGCGTTTGTACCGCAGACGCGATCCTTCCGATATTTATCCCGTGGACGTCTTCACGTTGGCAAATCTTTGAAAAACACTTAATCATATGATGAACACTATTTCGAATTTTTATGTGTTTTATGTTGATTATGATTATGAATAATTTGAGTTTTTATTATGTTACGTTTTCATCATTATAATTCGAAACCAACCATTTCTATTTCTAGTTTCGAAATATTTGTTAAATTAGCGAAAAACTACCATTTCTGCTATGGTTTTAGTTTCTGATTTCTAAAGTTTAAGGAAATCAAAAGTATAATATTTTGATCGAAGAAATCACATTTTTGCTGTTTTTCAATATATTCTAAATCGAAATCGAACAAGAATGTGAGTACGAGTATACAAATATATACAAAATGTCACGGGCTAATTTGATTATATTTGCATGTGCATGAAATTAAATGCAAACAGAGCGTCTTCACCTGTAAACCCTTTGTACAATTCTGTCCGAGAGAGAGAAAGGGAGCGTTGATTCTGCTGAAGAGTTTTTTTTTATTTTTTTATTTTGAATTTTAGAGAAAAAAATCAAAGGGAGACTGAGCATTCAATTTATGAAAAAAAAAAATCACTCAAACTTTGTATATTTTTTATATTTTAATTTTTTTGTTAACCAAAAAGTTTGTTGTGCCACATCACAGATGTGCATATTAATATCTCGTTTTTATACATTTGGTTTTTTAAGTACCTAAACTTTGATATATATATATTACTAAAACCATATAGTTTTTTTTTTTGTAACAAAAACCAAAATTACATTATTTTGATAAGTTTGTAAAGAGTGGGTATATTAAAAAATGTAAATATCAAAACGAGGGTTCGCGGGTTTGGATATTTAAATAAATTTTAGGTAACGTTCAGATATTCGTTTTGTAGTTTTTCCTTTGTACAACGAATAGAATCGGACTAAAAAAAATGATTGGTTCGAAACTTGTTAGGGTCAATTTCTAAGGGAGGGAGTTGAAAAGCAGATATACATTAATTATCAACCAGCCGCTACATTAATTGCCTCACCGCCTAATTAATTAAATAACCCCAACAGTTGTCATTCTTGACCGTTGGATGAGCATTTACCTCCATCTGAACCGTTGATTCTTTCCCACTACTGGATCATGCAAAAATATCACGTCAAACGTATGAAGAAGATGATGTTAACATTAAACGCAGGGAAATTAATTTAATCAGTAATTATATCTTTCCAGATTTAAGAATATAGCATATATATATATATATATACACACACATTAGCTTTGAAGAATCGTTGCCATCCAACCCAACCGTAAGCTAGCAAGTTCTTCAAAATTATATTCATTTATTTTTTACATAAATTTTAATTCGATCAAATTTGAGTTTAGTTTTCATTTAAAATCTATTGTTTATTTTTTTTCAAAAATTAACAAAATCATGGTTATCAAGAGTAAAAAATATTATAGTATATCGATGATGATATATTAAAGTGACGGACAATGAATAATTTATGAAGATTAAATAAAAATATCAAGTGTTTTGGATCAAAGTTATTTTGTTTTTGAATGATAATTAAAAAAAATAGATATTAAGATTTAAAAAAGTTAAGCTAATAACTTGTGTGATAAATTATAATACATATTGATGTAGAAATATATTTTGAGTATGATTCATTTGGAATATGAATTTTGAGTATGTTTTAGTTATAGAAAATTTCTATTTTTTCTGTTATTAGTTGAAGAGGGATTTTAAAAAAAAATAACATCATTTGGGGTTTTCTCAGTAAATATTTTTTAAAATTAATATGAAGTTATACTCCAAATACATGTTACACACCACAAAATCGTAGAAACAAATCCGTAAATAAACAAATAATCCTACCGCAGATGGTTTTAGAAAGAAAAAAATAAATAGACCATAAATAACCCAAAAAGAAAAAAAAATTGAGAGAACCATATCATACAGTCAATCACCATGTATAATTATTTCTTTCCTTGCAAAAAAAAAAATGGAGAACATGTAAAATATTTTTGAAGATCTAAGGATTATAGGATCCTTCAAAATTATACATAAATATATAAAAAAATATACAAGGAAAACGATGGAAACACATGCCCACACTCTCCTAGTCCGTGCATGCATGTATTGTACAAATACGCACACCCAAATTCGGATCTCTTTCACATTCATCACCTCCCATTTCAACAAATAAAAAAAAACCTTTTCTTTATTTCGCCAAATCTGATTCTTTCCTTAATTAGGGTTTTTGCTGTTCTCGTGGGATGGAGGGTTACTACAAAAAACGCCATGTTGTGTTCGTGGGTTTGATATTGGAACTAATGCTGTGTTTTAGGGCAAAGGGTGAACCACCACAAGTTCCATGTTACTTCATCTTTGGAGACTCTTTGGTTGACAATGGAAATAACAATCGGCTTCCTTCCCTCGCCAGAGCTGATTACTTCCCCTATGGCATTGACTTCCCTCAAGGCCCGACCGGTCGGTTCTCCAATGGGAAAACCGCCGTTGATGTGATGGGTAAGCTATATTCCACGTAAAAGTCTTCCCTTAAGTACATATGAAGTCAAGTCCCTAACATGGTTTCTCTCTTTGTTCTTGCACGTGTTCTTGATCTTATGAAGCTGAAATCTTGGGGTTTGATCATTACATTCCTCCCTATAGTGATGCGGTTGGTGAGGAGTTACTCGACGGAGTGAACTACGCTTCAGCCGCCGCGGGAATCAGAGAAGAAACGGGTCAACAACTGGTACGAATCCGTACCCAAAACCCGACATCACGACATGGGTTATGTTCCTTTTTTAAAAAAAAATGATCGAATCTTTGGATGAAGGGAGACAGGATAAGCTTCAGACAGCAAGTGCAGAATCATAGGAGGTTGGTGTCAAGAGTGGTGAATATCCTTGGAGGCGAGGAAATGGCGGCTAATCATCTAAGCAGATGCATCTACTCGATTGGGTTGGGAGGTAATGATTATCTCAACAATTACTTCATGCCCCTTTCCTACCCCTTCAGCAGACTATACACTCCCGACCAGTTCGCCGATGATCTTATCGATATATACAGTAAGCAGCTCTGTGTACGTTTCTTCATCTCTCTATTTTCCTCCCCTTTATATATATATTATATAATATTCTTGGTTGAAAATTTGTACAAGTGACCAATTTGGTCAATAAACGAATCGAATTACATATAATTAGAAACGTCTCAAACATTTTCGAAATTTTATACAATGAAAATGTATAATAATTAAATTGAAATATTAATATAAATAATTAAATATAATTTTACTATAAATGATATTAAAATATTAATATAAATAGTTATAACATTAAACAATGAAAACATATGACACAAAAATATAATTAAAAAACAAAAATAAATATTTGATATTTTAAAGATTTATAATTTTTTAAAAATAAAAAGAGTAAATCAATATTAAGATATGATGATAATTTAATGGAGTAGGATTATTTGGATTTCATTTTAGATTTATATAGAAAATAATACAATTATTAATTATATTATTTTATAAATTTATTTGTGGTAAAAAATATTAATTTAATAGATAATAAATGATTCAATAGATAATAGTGTGTAATGGAAAAATATTTATTAATTCACTAGTAAATAATAAATGAAAAACCATTAAATGTTGATATTTTAATATTTATTAAATAATATTTTAACCAAATATTATTTTAATACTATAAATACATTTGAAAATTATTATTATTATTTTAAATGGGTCCACTTAACGTTAAAGTACAGATCAATATAAAAATGGAATGGTTACGAATTTCTAAAACAAAAAAAAAATTCAAACACAACCGAACTAACTTAATGAAAAAATCATCGAAATTTTTTTAAAAATAAATTTTTTTATCAATAAAAACCTAATCCAAATCTAATACAAATAAAACCGAATTAAATCGAATTCAATCTGAAAAGTGAACAGTTTTTTTTTAATCCTAACCCAAATAAAGCAAAAGTGAACCCGACCGATCCAAATCCAAAAAGTTTGTTATATTTAGACTAAATTACTTATGTATTTTCTATATATAGATTTTTGTACAATACACTGGTATAAAGTAGTATCATTGTATATATATATATATATAGAGAGAGAGAGAGAGAGAAATAGTAGAAACCGTAGGTTAAATTATATATATATATATATGTATGTATTACGATCATGAGTACCCTTGTATTATATCTCGTTCCATGTGAAAATGTGTTGACGTTATTCTCATGAATTGGTTCAGTTGCTGTACAGGTACGGGGCGAGGAAGTTCGTGTTGAACGGAGTGGGACCGGTCGGGTGCACCCCGGCCGAGTTGGCTGGGAGCAGTCCCGACGGCAGAACTTGCATCGGCCGTATCAACTCGGCCATTCGTATCTTCAACCGAAAGCTTACGTCTCTCGTCGATCGAATCAACGGCAATCTCCCCGGCGTCACATCCATCTATACTAACAGTTACGGCATTTTGTTGGACATTCTCTATAACCCCTCTTCGTATGGTACGTGATTGGAAAACGCTATGAATTTTGAATGCTGTATATATAGACCCTATCGTTGGAGAATATGAAGATGGAAGAAACAGTGAATGATGTACAAATACTTTACATAATTATTATAAAGAAAACGTTACAAATCCGTGTATATATTGATTTTAGAGTTCATATATGAAAGTTTGGTATCGTTGAAATCTTGAATAGTGCTCAAGTAGATGTGATGGATTTCAATTATATCTTAAATTGGATTTAAGATGAATATATTAATAAAATTGTTGTAGGGTTCAGAGTAACAAACGCAGGATGTTGTGGGGTGGGGAGGAACAGGGGTCAGATCACATGTTTGCCGGGAGAGGATCCGTGTCCGAACCGCGACGAGTACGTTTTCTGGGACGCGTTTCACCCGACCACGGCTGCAAACGCAATCATCACTCGGCGTTTCTACCGCAGACGCACTTTTTCCGACGTTTATCCCATGGACGTCTCCACGTTGGCACAACTCTGATCAACAAGTTCTTGTTCATACATATCATGAATGTGTGCGTGTTTTAATTTTTCCGATTAAATTATTATATTAAGTTGGCCTTAGGAATTTAATCAAGAGACAGTTGTGTATGTGTGGGCCTTGTCCTAATTTTTTTTTCTAATCATTAATAAGATATTTAATCTTATTAATCATTAATTCTAATATAGACCGAATCATATATCAGATATATGTGTTTGATCTTAGTTTTTAATCTAATAAAAAATAATCTCATATTTTTAAACTGAAATCAAAATATTTTTTTCCCAAAAACTAAAAATAAAATAGCCATTCATGGCAAATATTGTGACCAATAAAAGAAAGATCCGCCGATTTAGGAAAAAGAAAAATATCTTGATTGAAGCTAATACTCCGACACGTGAAATAATATATTTTTTTTCTACACCGACATATTCTTATTAATTTATGACAATTGAATGCGAGAATATAACTTTTACAGTCCAGTTTGACTATTTCTTCGGCATGCATCCTCCCAAAAAAAAAATATTTGAATACTTTTATAAAGTCGGAGGACGTAGGTAGATTTTTTTACATTATGAACCGCGTGAAATTAAATGCAAACCTAACATCTTCACCTGTAAACTGTTCCTAACAACTATATATATAATCGATTGAATCTATTATTATTATTTTTTTGGTTCAATTTAAAGTATGGTTTTCTTTTTAGGAAAAACATAAGTTTTTTGTTTATCTTATTTTATTTATGTATTACGGATCATGGTAAACATTCACAAAAGAAATATTATTGTTACTAGAAACCACCAAATCATATAAGAAAACGAAATGGTAAATAAATCAAGGCAGAGATTTTCGGTTGATTCTTTTGGCATATTTTCCTTAAAAAAGGGAATTAATATATAGACGTATCGGCATAATCATTTGAAAAGCTGCATTTAATTTGTCAATTATATTACAAACGACATCCCTTTATTTATATATATATATATGTGTGTGTGTGTGTGTAAAGAATTATATTTTTCTTAATGAAGGGTCATAAGATGATTTAATCAAATCAAAATCACTCTTATCAATGTATTGATAACTCAATGCATGCAAAATGCAAATGCAGTGCAGTTATACGAAACGAGACAACCATATTAATTAATGCAAAGATTAATTAGTCCTTAGATCATTAGTGTAGTCTATTCCTAACGTGCCCCTTGAACAACCTCGATTAATCAAAAGTCTTTAATTTACAAAAATTCAAAATAATAATGCACTCTATTTCAATACAAAGATTATAAAAGTGTATGATCTCTTTGGAGTTTGGACCCACCATTCTTGAAATACGTAGCCCACAAAGCAAAACACTCCACTCTCTCTCTCTCTCTCTACTCTCTCTATAAATACACACATGAATTCAATGGATTTCCTCACACTCACCACCACCTCTACATCACTCATCACTTAGATTTTAAAATGGAGGGTTACTCGATGAAGTGTTGTGTAGTGTTTGTAGGGTTAGTGTTAGGTCTTACCGTTAACGGAGACCCTCAAGTTCCATGTTACTTCATCTTTGGAGACTCTTTAGTAGACAACGGAAACAACAATGGCCTCTCTTCTCTTGCTAGATCTGATTACTTTCCGTACGGAATCGATTTTCCAGGGGGGCCCACCGGCAGATTCTCCAACGGAAAAACTACCGTCGACGTCATCGGTAACGCCGTTAGTTGTTGCATGAGTTGACGTGTGTAGCAAGTCAAGATCTGACATGTGTTCTCTCTCTCTTTTCCTCTGTCTCGTTTCTTTGTTTTGATGTAATGAAGCTGAACTGCTTGGTTTCAACGATTATATCCCTCCGTACGGTGGCGTAAATGGTCAGGAGATTCTTACCGGAGTGAACTACGCTTCTGCGGCGGCTGGAATCAGAGAGGAAACGGGACAGCAACTGGTAGTACTTTACGGATTTTGGTCTCTGTGTCTGATTTCAAAACCCTATACATATATATATATATATGAACACACCTACGTGATCGTTTTTTGTTTTGGAAAATCGGATCTTTGAACGCAGGGACAAAGGATAGCCTTTAGTGGGCAAGTGCAGAACTACAAGAACACAGTTTCACAAGTGGTGAATCTGCTCGGGGACGAAAACTCTGCAGCTGATTATCTCAAGAAATGCATTTACTCCATCGGATTAGGAAGCAATGATTATCTGAACAATTACTTCATGCCCACTTTCTACTCCTCGAGTAGACAGTTCACTCCTGAACAATTCTCCGACGATCTTATCGATCGATACGGTCAACAGCTCAATGTATGTTTCCCCGTCTCAGTCTCTTATAAAGATCACAGTTTCTTGAGACGAAATTCTTGGTTTGGTATATCGAAAAAATTTCGTATGGTTGGACAAAGTTTCGAACTTTCCGATCTGGGTTCGAGTCCGTGACCAGAACCTATCGAATTTGGGCCGAGAAGATCGCATTTTCTTTCTTCTACCGGATTTTATCGTTTGTTCATTGGACTGTCTTCTTGGTTTCGTATTCCAAAAAATTCATATGGGTTGGATAAAGTTTGGAACTTTTCGATCTGGATTCGAGCCCGTGGCTAGAGTATGCTTGATCGATACGATCCAAAAATTCGCATTTTTTGTAACGTTTTTTGTTCAGGCGCTATACAACTACGGGGCGAGGAAATTTGCGTTGATCGGGGTAGGAGCGATCGGCTGCAGCCCGAACAAGTTAGCTGACAGTCAGGACGGTAAAACCTGCGACGAACAAATCAACTCGGCGAACCAAATGTTCAACAATAAGCTCAAATCTCTAGTCGATCGCCTCAACAACGATCTCTCCGACGCAAAGTTCATCTTCATCAACGCTTATGGCATTTTTCAAGATTTGATCAGCAACCCCTCTGCTTATGGTACGTTATATATAAAATTTTCGTATATACTATGGTAAGATCTTGAAGTAATTAATCGGTTAATTGGAAAATGTATATTTTTGTGTTTTTTTTCCTCAGGGTTTAGCGTTACGAACGCGGGGTGTTGCGGTGTGGGGAGGAATAATGGTCAGATAACGTGTTTGCCAGGTCAGAGTCCGTGTCCGAACCGCAAAGAATACGTTTTCTGGGACGCGTTTCACCCAACTGAGGCCGCAAACGCGATTATCGCTCAGCGTTCTTACAAAGCGCGGTCGGCTTCTGACGCTTATCCCATTGATATCTCAAGATTGGCACAACTTTGAAAAAAAAAACACTTGGACTAAGTTTATAATAGACAAATGTATGTCGACCGTACGTATTCTTGTTTCGAGCGGTTTTGATCAAATTATTGGACCGTCGCAAAACCAAGAAAAGATGGCACAATGAGTAATTATTATTATTATTATTGTTGTTGTTGAAAATATCTAATAATCATCGAATCTTAGTTTCCCACGCAAAAAGATGCTGCAAAACTAAGAAAAGGACACAACAAATTATTATCATTACAATTCACTATTGACATTTGAATTGAAATTTGTGATGAGAAAATATATTGTTTCTGATAATCATCGTATCTCAGTTTCTCATGCAAATAGATACAGAACCGGAAATTACTACTAAGCCAAAAAAAAAAAAAAAAAAAAAAAAAATTGGCATGAACCAAAATTTTGATTATGTATCCCATTGATTTGCAATACAAACTTTATGAACAAAAGATATAAATTAACTCAACAAGAACTATTTACACATGAATCAGATGAGATTATATCAAGGGGAAGAAAAAAAAAAAGAAACTAAACCTCTCCCCTCGTTTTTTTTAACTCTTGGGCTCCTGTCTGATTTCGAGCAGTTCATGTCCGCATGCAGAAGAGGAAGAAGAAGATTCAACAACACTGTTCGAGTTCCGAGTATGGCTAACCGTAGAGCTGTTACTCTCCTTGTATTTCCTCATATCCTTTAACGCCTTAAACCTCAAATCTCCAGAAGACATGCTCGATTCAGGCGTAGTCGCAGGGACCGGAGCTCGGTTTTCGAGCATGCTGACGACCTCGGACATTGTCGGTCTTTCTGTCGGAGAAGCGCTTGCGCAGAGGAGGGCCACTTTTATTACGGTCTCAGCTTCTTCCCCGTTCATTTCCGATCTCAATCTCTCATCCACTACTCGGATCCATTCCCCGGTTTCGAGACAGTGACCAGCCTGCAATACGCGATAAGACAGGTTAAACCCTCATGAATTCTCTACCAGTTCCGGGTTCAGATTCAACGGCAAGATTTCAGTCCTGGTTTACCCTAAACCCTAACCTCTAAACCCGAGTTTCATGTTGGATAAACAGAAGCGTAACTCGGGCGATTACCCAATCCAAAAGACAAACGCAATCTCCCGTTGGCACAAAGCTGCTATTGCTCTTTCCAGCAACGATTTCTAGAGCCAAAATCCCGAAACTGTAGACATCGGCTTTGAATGTCAAGTAACCCCACAATGCGTATTCCGGTGCCATATATCCTCTGCAAATGTATATGAAATCACTACGACACATATGTATATATACACGAGAGAGAAAGGTAGAGGCTTTAGGCTTTACATGGTTCCTGCCACTCTAGTACTGATGTGTGTCTTCTCCTCTTCATCGAGCTTAGCCAAACCGAAATCCGATATTTTCGGGTTTAAGTCCTTGTCCAATAACACGTTCGTGGCCTTGATGTCTCTGTGTACAAACTTCAACGGAGATTCTTCGTGGAGAAAGGCCAAACCTTTCGCTATCCCGCAACAGATCCTAAACCTCATAGGCCAATCCAGTTTAAGCTGTATGTGCGGTGGACCTATGCATTGTATAACACACGGTATTCGAAATTATAAACTTCCGTATTCATCCATTCAAGAATAGCTTATATAACCTATATTCTTGAAAACGAAAAAAAAAGACTCACAGAATAAAGCTCGAGCCAAGCTGTTATTTTCCATGTATTCATACACCAGTAGCAGCTGATCCCCTTCCACGCAAAATCCGTGAAGCTTGACGAGATTCGGGTGTTGCAGACAAGAAATTGTGCCAATCTCGTTAAGAAATTCTCGGTTTCCTTGTTTCGATTTAGATGAGAGCTGCTTAACTGCTACAACTCTTCCATCGGATAACACACCCTGCATTCGCCTTACATTAGCATTAATCACAGTATCTATCTATCATATAAGACATTAAGAACAATTTCATTCACTTTATGTTATTACCTTGTACACCGGACCGAAACCGCCTTCCCCGATCTTGTTATTTGTATCAAAGTAATCTGTAGCAGCCTTGATTTGGTTCAATGTGAAAGTTCCAGATGGTAACCCTTCTCCATGGGGACCTGTGGATTAAAGTGAACACAGTTTTCTTATACGAAAACTAACGCCAGCCCGTATGATTATTCATCACCCGAGAAAATCTTGCAAAGACGGTGTCTGAGGGAGAAAGATTAAGTTGAAAATTTCCCGGGCATGGCTTTGAGAGATGAATATGTGAAGAAAGCTGTCACCTTTACTTCTTTGAAAAAATCTTGGAAGCCAACCTCTCCACCAAAGAATTCCCAGTATAAAGACAACAAGAAACGGAACTCCGATTCCCACTACGACATACGCTACCCAACTCTTCCCGGGATGTGAACACTGTTTAGAATCTGCACCTTAATGTGTTAGTCTAAATTCCTACATTCGATAAAAAGGTAAGTTCAGAGTATAACACGGTAAAAAAAATAAGTAAGCTAACCCGAAACCACAGAAATAGCTGATATGAGAGGACCGTAAACCCCTCTTGTAGGAATCCTAGTAGTTCCTTTACCGTCCCAACTTAACCGAATAGCTAAAAAGTGGTCAGTCACATTGACAGGAAACGATTTCATCACGGGCTTTTGAGCGCCATTCGCCTCGTTCACGATATTGAAGTCCTTCCACACTAAGTTCCCCTGCAAAATTTTATGGGTTTTTTTACAAACACATATACGTACATACACATTCAATTGTTTCAAAAGCCACTTGATTTCTTCAAAAAGAGAGAACCTTAACCTGAATGTAGATGTCGAAAAACCGCTTCCCGAGGCTGTTGTATGTTGCATCATTGGTGAATTTTATCTCAGCAAAATCGAGATTAACGGTATATTTTCCGTTTTCTAAGCAAGCATGGAAGTAAGTGAGGGAGACCGGAGCTATCCGAGCTGTGGTGTAAAGTTCAGACAGGTTTGATGACGGGAGGAACGAGATAAATCTCGTGTTTTGGTAATTGTTATCGTCCATGAAGTCCCCGGTGCTACTGAATCCCCAATAATCGTCGGGTTTCAAATAATTTTTAGCAACACCTCCTTCAACGTCTCCGTCTCCTTGGTACAGATATCTTTTTTTGTTTTCGTTCACTTTCACGTCATTTCCACCGCAATTCACATGGAAGCAGTTAGAATCTGAAAGACAATGAGAAAGAATTGACTAAGCGAATTCCCGACATTATTAATCCTATAAAGTCGTAAGCTTTTATGACTTGAAGACAGACCCGACAACTATCTTCTATAAACGGACACCTTTGCTCAAAGATTAAACGAAAAATGTCTCCAAGAATCTTCAGATGCAAATCTGTAAATGTACTTACAGTGAGGACACTTGAAATCTTTGATGCAGGGAAGAAGAGTGCTCCTATAATAAAAATCAATCAGAAACAAAGAAAAATTCAATATCATTTGAGAATAAATCTTTCAAAAGATTGCAAACTTGTAAAAAGGATGTTACTTCCAGATTCAAGAAACAAGCATGGAATTTTAGATGGAACAGATAACTCAAAAGAAAGAATCTTACGGGTTTTTCATCGAAGAGCTCCCGAACAAGTTAAGATTCAGATTCCTAGTACAACAAAAATGGGATGATATCAGCTGAAATGACAATCATCTCAACCAAAACGGTCCGAGGAATGCAATGAAAGTCATCGTAAGGTTATTCTTACAGGTTCTTCTGACAAGAATGATGCTCGGGACCTTGCCATGTAAGGTTATTATACGAGAGATCACTGTGACGACAATCAAACATGTAGACCATAACCTGGATACACATTTTTCAAATAAAAGCTAGAAAAACATATAATACGCAAAACGAGACACATACATAGTGATTCCATCCCGTAATAACCCATCTGGAACGTCTCCTGTGATCATATTTCCTGTCAGAAATCTGCCAAGAAGAATCGATTAAGGAAATTCCAAAGTCTGAGGTTAGAAAATACATTTTAACATAAGCATTCATACGCGCTATATATCTAGTTATATAAAACCGAACTTCTACTTACATAAATCTCACGCGCTCTGCCTGAACAAACGAAGGTATCTCCCCAACCAACTTGTTGAAAGTCAAATCCCTATAACCGACATAACAAGAGCAGATGAACTGTATGATAAGCAAGTTCACTCTATTCAATGTGAAAAGGAGATGATATTCTTACAACGTCTCCAAATTTTTCATAGTCCCGACATATGGAGGAATTTGTCCATCAATGTTACAGTTCCTCAATACCCTACATAAGAAAAAAAAACCCCGATCAATACCCAAAAAAAAAGACATGGCAGTTGAAAAAGCTTCAAGAGGCCATATAATAGCAAAGCTCTCAACTTACAATCTGATTAACCCTGTCGCATTTCTCAACACAGGGAATGGTTGGTCCGGTCCATTTATATCACCGATCCTCCTGAAAACGATAAATCAATGAAACAATATTGTCATGTGTTGGTAAATCTGAAAAAAAAAACTTAAGGAGAGTCCAAACATTGTCTTAGTGGTTAAGGTGTGTACTCACAGATCTTGAAGGTTGTTCAAAACCGAAATGACAGATGGGATTGGACCGTCGAGACCAGATGCAACCATTTCTCTTCAGACATTAAAAAGAACACAACTATAAAGACTCATTACCGAAAAGAAACGCTTTGGTTCCTTGATAATCAGTATACTGAAAAAGGGTCTTACAGTCTTGTGAGTTTTTTCCAGTTCTGTAAGAAACCGGGTATTCTTCCATGGAATTGGTTATCGTTGATCCTCCTGCATTGTGAGAAAGCAAACAGCAGATTGACCGACCGTGATAAATGTATAACCAAGTTAACCAGAAAAAAAGGAGCAAAAGCTTACAAATCAGTAAGATTCTGTAGTCTAGATAGTGAAATCGGTAAGTTGCCCGTCAATTTGTTGGAGGAGAGCATCCTGAATATTAAGGAAATGAACCGACAAAATTATTTTATATACTTACGAAAATTACCAATGTTGTAAGAAACAAGGAGAAAAGAAAAAAATATAAGATTCGCTCACAGTGTCTGCAAGTTGAATAAGTTCCCAAGCTCATTCGGAATAGTTCCAGAAATTTCATTAGCTTCAAGATTCCTGTTCAAAAAAGCAATAAGAAACGAATATAACAGCATCTTCACAAAGAGAAATACTCAAGATTTTTGTCAAACAAAAATACTCTTAAAGATCATTTGGGTAAGCAAGTAACAAGAAGACAATAACAGGTTAAGTTCGTGAAACTTACAAGAATGTCAATGTAGTGACGTCTCCCAGCTCTTTCGGGATTTCTCCTGACAAACGATTCACAAGAAGAGAACTGCAGAAACCATTTGATTACTCTACCAGAAAATTCAGACACTTAACCAAAAAACAGAACGGAAATAGTAATGATTCTTACATCGAAGTTAACTTAGTTGACGCCCATTCACGTGGTATGCTTCCGTTGAGGTAATTGTAGGCCAAATCACTAAAACAGGGCAAGAATTGCTGATTTGAAATCAGTAACTTTTCTCATCTTACAATTGGAAGAAGAAGAAGAAGAAAACTTGTCTTTTTAGTTCACAAGCCAGGTTAAGACACTATACTTACAGTTCCCGGAGGTTGGGAAGCTTATCGATTTCACGAGGAAGCATTCCCGGAAGATTATGCCCTTTGAGTGAACTAGAAAAAAGCATGAAGCAGCCATAAGAAAATGACAACTACTATCTAAAAGACTAAGGTATATTCATTTTCATCCACTCTCTATCATATGGCTCATGCATTACACATTACAAACTATCGAAAACATTCGGAAATATCATTATCATCAGCTTTTTTCATATAGATTGAAAAACCCTTTCATGAGACAGACCAGACAAGTTATAAGCAGAGTAAGAAAGAGTGTTACATTTTCACAACATGACAGTCAGTGCCATTTGTCGGGCTGCATTCACATATAATCTCGTGCTCGGCTTCCTGGGGAGGAACTTGCGTTAGCCCCACCATTTCGATGGTGCAGTCATCAGCATCAAATTTCCAGTACTTTGAGCCCAGTGTGGTAACGATTTGCTGTAAGGCATCGGCTATATGACAATGACAGGCAAAGAAACAAGCATCATCAGTATAATCAGTGCTGTTGAATATGATCAGAGGAAATGGAACAGCTTCATACAAAAGACTGATAAATAAAGATATTCATAATAGTCAACTGAAATGGTCTGAAAAACATCACAAATGGCGGCATTGTTAATCCAGATTTGATAATCAATTGAAACTTCTGCTGTCATACTGAATATGGAGGAAGCTACTCAAATTGACTTGGTCAATCTGAAGATCAAGTCCATCGCTGAACTCAATGGTCAAACTACAGACAATCCAATTGCTTAAACAAACACGTGTATGCAATGACTGGATAATTTAATGACCGAATCACTTGTACTGGCCTTGAAATTCCGATCTTAATACTTCACATGAAAGAACCCTACCAAAGAGAATTCTCCAGAGACGTTTCCATGGAACCAATCAGAAAATCCCATTAACAAGGAACAGAGAGGGGGAAACCCCAGAATGTTAAAATACTAAAGAAGGAAACTTCAGGAAAGAAAAGGAAGCAGTCCAAAAACAAAAGGCGCAAACTTTTCGAAAAAGTCTTCAAGGGTCAGACGAGAAATTTCCAAAGAACAAAACCCAGAACTCAAATCTGAGAATCGAATCAGTGAAATTCAAAACCCAGAAAGAGAACAACTTCAAACTCACCTTCCTCTTTGGGCAACTTCAAAGCGGTGATTCTGCAGAATCCGAAGCAAGTGATGGCAAAAATCAAGAAAACAAAGAAATTTTTCTGGGCAATCATTTGATAAGTGGACAGAAGTCCGGGGATAACGCAGGCAAGACAAGAACACTGATTAGTGTCGGATTAATGACAGGAAAACAATCAAGATCTACACTTCGGAGGGATATTTGCCCTTGAAATTGGCAACGATTCGAGGGGATTAGAGATGGATTCTGACTCCAAAAACTCTCATGTGAATCATATAAACAGAAAAAAAAAAAAAAAAAAAGGA